AGCGTGCTGTCTGGGGACCGCTGGGACACCTGCACCACCAGAAATGGAGGGGAGGAGTGGGGTGAGGACGCCAAGTCACTTAAAAGTTAGTTATTACCAGCAGCACGGGGCAGACGTTGCTGGGGGAGGACAGGGACAAGTTCCCAGGCTCTTGATACAGGCACGTGAACCAGGACTTGGGAACAGGGCAGAGCGGAGAAGCCTGTTAGAAGATGAGGCGGGTAGAGAGGCAAGCGGACGGTGCGGAGAAGTCTAGGTTGGAAAGCCAAAGGATGATAATGGGTGTCGTTTGCAGAAAATACGGTCTGACCTCCTTGGGAGGAATGCAAAGCTAAAAATACATCATTGAGAGGAATAATACCTGAAGGAGGATGTTTGGGCTTTGAGGAATGGCTACAAGACGATGGGAAGCTGAGCCAGTGGCTACTGAGCACCGCACAAGACAAGGGCATGTGCTCAGGCGCCGACCCTCTGGCCCCGGGGCCGTACGACGTGTACCGGGACAGATGAAGACGCCGCAAGGAAGGCAAACGACTTGTTGGTGTCCAGGCAGGGCGGTGTGGTGCACACGTGCAGGATGGGAGGGCTGAATCGCTGCCAGGGTTTGCTTCGGCATTACCCAAGTCCTAAGGCTGCGAGGCTGTGAGCACCCAGGGCTTCCTCCTGTGGGTGCCCGGTGAGCGCCAGAAGGGTTTGCGGTACGGCCATCTCCCACGTCGGTGCTGGGAGAGACAATGACGAGGCTGAGGCTTGCGAGGAGAAAGCGGAACAAACCCGCGGCGAGGGCTGCACGGGAGGCCAAGGCTCTGCAAGTGGAAATGGGAGCGAAGGGGTGGGGGGAGCCGAGAGGTGGAGGTGCACAGGGATGAGGAGGACAAGTTGGGTTGACCTCGGATCCCACTCCAGCAGATTCCCAGAGGGAAGGAAGGGCTGGAAAAAAGTAAGGAGGTTGGGGCACAGAAGAGAGACAGACCACAGGACTGTGAAGACAAGGGTGACCCTCCCCATCTCTTCCGTAGGGCCATGTCCTATGAACACACTGTTGGACAAGCGTGGGGCAGGTCCACAGCCAACGCTGCCGGTTGGGCACCATCAGGGCATGCAGCGGCCGGGCCACGACGATTCCAGCCCAGTGAGAGGGAAGGAGACGAACCAGCACCTACGGAGGGTGTTAGAAGGAACAGCGGCTAGCCAGGATGACAAAAAGCCAAAAATCAATAACCAGGTAGAAAGAGGCGAAGAGCTGGATCCAGGAGCACCAGCGTCTCTGGAGTACCAAACCCAGCCAAGGACAAGGCCATCCTCGAAGGAGCGGTGACAGAGCTGGGGGGGGAGAGAAAAAGGGGTACGCAGCAGCAGCAACCAGCACGCAGGAGCCAAAAGGTCTCGGCCGGGCACAAAGAGGGGGGAAAAGCCGGCAGTCTGAAGGGAACCTGAGCCCCGAGATGCTCAGCGAGGGGATCTGTCTGCCCAAGCGGCTGGGCTGGGCAGCTGGTCCCAGGGCTTCTGGCCCCCGGTCCACCCCAGTCAGCGTTTGCTTCGCAGGTGCCTCGGCCAGGCCATGGGCAGGGCGGAGGCACGCACGGCAGCAGGCGGGGGCGAGGTGCCCTGTGCAGGGCTGGGCTTAGTGAACCCTACGGAGAAGTCTGCCAAAGGGGACAGGAGCCTCGGTGCTGACCGAGAGCCCCGGAGAGACGTCTCACGGAGACCGAGGAACACCGCGCTGAGGGCCATGAGCAACCAAACCCGACAGCACCTCTGCAGAGGAACCCCATTCCAAACCAAATACATCTACTAAGGCTCAAAACCAGGACACAGCTTGGCTTAATTTTTTTTTTTTAAACTAGTATTTTCTACTATACATGAGTGCTTCGGTCCACCACAGTCACTGCAGAGCTATCGCACGGACGCACACACGAACTCTCTATACAGACTATACACTGTACAGGCAGGGCTGCCACCAAGGAGTATGGTACAGAAGGCGGT